GAAAAAAGTTATATTTTTTAAAAATATTCTTTATATAAAAATTCAATGTATAACATGGATGCATAAAAACCTAATTTTATTTCAGTGTTAAATTCTGTTTAAAGGAACAGATTATGATTAAAAATGTCTCCGGACCTTTTTTATTTAATTCAGACCCTGCTGATTTTTAATTGGTTACCCCTGCTATATACTATATATTTTACATAGTATATTGTATGTTTTATATTGTATGTAACCATAGATCCTGTATTTTGTGTAACATCAACACCAAGTCAAATTCCTTTTAAGTGCAAACCTACTTGGCAATAATCTTGATTAAGATTTATTTGGATTAAGCCTATGAATGGAAGAAAAGATGTATTGCTCAAACCAAAATGAAAATTGAGTGGATAGAAATACAGAAATGGACTAAATGTGTGCCTATGAATAAAAAAAAAAATGTATTTGAATTGATCAATAAATGTATTGAAAGTTCTAAGGTTTCATTTTGACCAGATAAATAAACCAACATGAGGGAATAGGAATTATACACTTTAAAGTGTGGACATGATTTTGGCATATCCAGACATATGCATAGCATTCATATTTTTTATTGGATATTTTTTAATATCTGCTTAGTGCTCCCCAGGTACAAAAAGTTGTACTTTTTAACCATTCATTTTATTTCTTTATATTCTGGAATTGTTATTCCAAATTATATTTTACCAAATATATTTGTGTCACCTCAGATTTTATCTGTAGCTCTCATCTTATGTGCAGCATGCTACTTCCCAACAAAGTTTTTTTCTTTTCTTATAAGTCTATGCAGGCTGTTCTGTTAGACAGTATGTACCTTTATGACCTTTGATGGTGAAGACCTGACTCTTAAAACCTTTTTACAATCAGAGAAACACTACATTGCAGCTACCCAGAATTCCCTTTAACTAAATAGTAACTTTTTTTAAATTGGCGGCTTGTTTTCTCGGTTCTATGTTTAGATATGACAAATATAGCCAAAAGCTTTTGCCTTTGGTTGAAATGCCCATCTGCTGATTGTTCTGTAATTAATTTTAGCAGAACATGTGATAAATGTTTTGTTTATAAACACGACAAACTGGGATGGATGTGATGACTGGTTGGTTTTACTGTCAATCATGTCAGAATGACCAAACTCCTGATAAGTTTCCAATCACATTAGTTATAAAGCCTTTTGGTTTGCCTAGCAATGGAACCTAATTAATTCTGATAGGATAAAAATTATGGTGCTTTCAAATGAGTCCGTAAATTTGACTACTTACTGAGTGGCTGTTTTAATTTCTTCGCAAAATAATTAAATAGAATAACTCAGGTAACTGTGAGATTTTGTTCTGTAAGGTACTTTGTAGGCTCAAATCTGTTCATGACAAAGTAATATATATTAAATATAGGCCTACGAAAGTATTTCTGTAAGTAGGTATTTATTTAAAATTACGCTCATCCTCCAGAATTATATAAAACAAGGAATTGAAAGAGATGGAGATTTTTCACCATGACCGAATGAAGAAGAAACAAATAAGATTACAGTAAAACCAAATCATAAGAATATCATTAAAAAAGAACCAAAGAAGGGGAAAGTAAATCTAACAAATCAGAAATGGGTTAAATTTTCTATTTGATCGCAGGATTGGAAATCATGCTGTTTGATCTCTCCCGGAGGTGTGTTTATAGGCGAAGGTTTAACTGTTAATTACAGGAGAGGATTAGGGCAACTAAAACAATAAACAATTTAAATGATTTTTACATTTTATTGTATTATAATATGAGAAAAAAGTATGACTTTTTTCTTACAATTCTGAATTTAATCTCAGAATTCTGACTGAATTCTGACATGCTCCCACATCTCTTCCTTCATGGAGCCCATCTACATTACAGTTTTTCTGGATTGTTTACACACATTTCTGAAAACATGCCTCGTATTCTCAGAACTCTACACACAAATCCAACAAACACACACACAATGGGCAAAACCCTTCAATTCTCCTGCAAAATGAAACTTTACATTCAAAACAGTTTTATCTCTTCACAAAAGGCCATTTTGTGTTCAGATGACACACACAAACTATCATATGAACAGACAATTAAAAAAAGCATTTAAACACTGATGTGCTCAGTGTAAAACACCATTCTCCATTCATCATAATGACTTTTTGTTCAGTGTTACACTTACTACAGACATTAAATACATAAGTGCGTTGTAAAATATTTTAGAATATTGTTTTTATACTCAGAACACTCAAATATACTGTAACAAACATGTTTTATTTTTCCCACAAAACAATGTACACAGTGTACATCCCAACTGACACAAAGTTGCACATACAGTGCAGAAGATTTTACTGTATACAGTTACAGTAATAAAACAAAACAAAATAAACTATGCTGCATCCTCTCTTCTGTTTCGGTCTGGCCACAGCACCTCATCTACATCACAAGCAATGTTTTCCCTGGCCAAGCAGCGGGGGAAATATCGCCTAGCATGGCGAATCCAGCCATGAAAAGCATCAACTGCTATATCTCCACATGCGTCTTCCATAGCTTGGAAAAGGGGTATACGCGTTTCTGAATTTAGGTCGTACACTTTCCATCTCCAGGCAGAAAAAAAATTCCTCAATAGGATTGAGGAATGGAGAATATGGAGGGAGATAAACAACTGAAAAGCGTGGGTGGTCAGTGAACCAGAGCAGCCCGGTGGAAGCTTACGTTGTCCCAAATGACAACGTACCTGAGCTGCTCTGGGCCGTCTATCTGATCTGGTGGAATGAGTGTGTTGTGTAGGGTGTCCAGGAATGTGATCAGATGGGCAGTGTTGTAGGGGCCAAGGGTAGCATGGTGATGGATGATGCCATGGTCGGTCATCGCTGCACACATTGTGATGTTCCCTCCGTGCTGGCCAGGGACTTCAACAATGGCACGCTGGCCGATTATATTCCTTCCCCTCCTTCGTCTTTTTGTGAGGTTGAATCCAACCTCATCAATGAAGAAGAACTGGTGCTCCACTGCATCCACCTCCAGCTCAAGGACTCTCTGAAACACACATGACAATATCAGAAGTAGACATGGAGCGGTCTCTATTGTGAAGCACAATCATTATGATTACAATATAATAGAAAGAAATATGTATGATTTATACAATGTTGACAGTATGCATCAAAGGTGGGAATGTACTGTATAGGACGTACTTGCACATAGTTATATCGCAATTCTTTGACCCTTTCTGAATTGCGCTCAAATGGCACCCTGTAGACCTGCTTCATCCTCAGTTTATTTCTGTGCAAGACACGGTCCAGCGTTGATAAACTTACCCTATCAATATTTTGAAATATCTCATTGTTTTCTATTATTTTTCTTTGTATTTGTCGTAAGGTAATGGCGTTATTTTCAAGAACCATGTTCATGATCTCTGTTTCCTGTTCAGGAGACAGAAGACGGCCCCGTCCACCTCTTGTTGGTAATCTTTCAGTTCTGCAATACAAAGAGTGCAATACTGTAAATACTGTGTAGGAATACATTTCCCAAATACTCGAAACACAATGTCCTACAGAACAGTCCACAGGTAATACTGTACTACTGTACTCATTGAGTACTGTATTGATATGCAGTACTGCAGTTTTGTAGTGAGAGTAGATTTCTTACCTATTCTCATTGCGGAAAGTCCGGATGATGGATGCTACAGTGTACCTGCTCAAATTTGGCTGTACTCTTTGCCCAGCCTCCCTCATTGTTAGGCCATGGTTGACCACATGGTCAACCAAAGTTGCTCGGATCTCATCAGAAATGATTGTCCTTGGCCTTCCTCATCCTCGTCCTCCCCATCGTCCTCCTCTTACTCTCACTCCTCTGGCTCTGGCTCTGGCTCTGCCTCTGTTTACAACATTGGCCTCCATTGCTCCAAAACAGAAGAGCTCACCTGTTGCCCTTCTATGCTAAAGCTCTGATTGCTGAGTGGAAACATGTGTGTTAGGTGTTTGCCCATGTGAGGAGTCAGTGTGCATAGTAGGGAAATTAACTTTAGAGTTTTGAATAACAGTGTGTTCCTTGTGAAAACAAAAGATTTTCTTCATGACAATTGTGTGTAGAGTTTTGGAAAAAGTGTGTTTTAGAACTGCAATTTGAGTGTAAAGCAGGAATTGTGCTTGTAGTTTAGCAGAATTGGTTCAGGGGGTTGGTGCATGAGTTACATTTTGTGGTCATTGTGTTTCAAGTACCAATATATGTGTGTAAACAATCGAGAAAAACTGTAAGATCCAACATTCTGAGATTAAAGTCAGAATTCTGAGAAAAAAGTCTGTATTCTGAGCTTAAAACTGAAACTGTAATTTCCCTATGGGATTTCAAAGGATGTCTGATTCTGATTTTGATTCTGATTAAAGTCTAAATTCTGGGAAAAACCTCTGAATTCTGAGAAAAAGGTCAGAATTCTGAGATAAAATTTAGAATTCTGAGAAAAAAAAGTCTGATTTCTGAGATTAAAGTCTGAATTCTGAGAAAAAGGTCAGAATTCTGAGATTAAAGTTAGAATTCTGAGAATAAAGTCTGAATTCTGAAAAAAAGGTCAGAATTCTGAGATTAAATTTAGAATTCTGAGAAAAAAGTCTGAATTCTGAGAATAAAGTCTGAATTCTGAGATTAAAATTAGAATTTTGAGAAAAAAAGTATAAATTCTGAGATTAAATTTAGAATTCTGAGAAAAAAGTCTGATTTCTGAGATTAAAGTCTGAATTCTGAGATTAAAATTAGAATTTTGAAAAACAAAAAGTCTAAATTCTGAGATTAAGTCAGAATTCTTAGATGGAAGTTAGAATTCTGAGAAAAAAAGTCTGGATTCTGAGATTAAAGTCTAAATTCTGAGATTAAGATTTTTTTCCAATATTAAACTGAAATAATATTTAAAAATCAGTTAAGTTATTTTTAATTTTTTCAGTGGCCCTAATCCTCTTCCGTAGAGAGTAAAGCCTCCAGTTCAGCATCATCTCCAGGCTGAATGTAGGTTAGAGGGTTTAACCGGAAGCTGGGATCAGCTGATGGAGGAAGAGCTGGGAAATAGGTGAGCCATCTTCCCCCGGCAGACGGATTCGGACTCGAAGCTTTGGTTAAAGACATAAGATCAGAAGGAGGTCGGTGTCATTGGAAGGAGACGGACGGGTTTTAAAAAGGAAAGATAACCGGAGGAAACGGTGAAGGAATCTGGATGGAGCAGTTCTGACAGAGGGATATACCAGCTGATTATATTCGACACAAAAGCCCCGAACAGCATTAACAAAGAACTGCTAACACGTACCAAATGGATTAATAAGGAATTATGGCCCAGCTGTATCCTGTGTAATTAAAGAATGGCTCCTTAAAGCCGCTTCCGGTCGCTGCAGTACACAGTGTGCAGCACGAGCCTGTAAACAAACAGCTAGCTTCAGTTAGCCGACTGCTGCTTAGCATCCAGGTGCTAATACACTGAGCTAAAGCTGCGGGCTGAAGTAGGGAGAACCGAGATAAACGGAAACAAACTGTCTCAAACTAGACACCGCGTCTCCAAAGCTCTTTGGGTTGGATGGGGTTTGTTTACGACATCCATGTTTGCATTATTTATAGAGAAGTTAGCTTTAGAGTTAGCCTGGTACAGTTAGCTAGCCGTTAATATTTAACAACTGCAAACTGAGCGTTTAAAGCGGCTTTATGCAGCTCTGAGGGGTAAACATGTCATGTTAAAGTCTCTGGTCCTGACACCTGTTGACACACTATTGACAGAAACTGTTAGCAAAGCAATGCAGCTGATTGGCTGAGCAGAGGGGGGGATGAAGGAAAACAGCTTCCTGAGTTTTTAATTAGTCTCTGCTGGAGGACTGAAGGGAGAATAATAATCCAACCTGACTGATTGCTTAGGAGGGGAATTGATTTATCCTTTTAACTGTATCAGTTTTCCCTGAAGCAAACCAGAGCAGCAGGTTAGTGAAATGCTGCCCTGCTCATTATAAGGAGACTCTTTAATTCAAACAGGTTACTTTTATTGTTCTAAATATATTTCATTGTTTGAGCTTGAGCACAGCTTGCATAGTGTTTCTGCCATGTAGCTAGCTGCGCTTTGGGCCAATTAGGAAGTTCTAGTAGCCAGTGGGCCACTGACCTCCTGCTGCAGCTTCTAGCCACATTCATCCAGATCTACAGCTTTCACAACACGAGATGGAACTAATGTTTGCTGAGTGGGAGGACGGGGAGAGGTTCTCCTTCGAGGATTCGGACAGGTTTGAGGAGGACTCCCTGTGCTCCTTCATCTCCGAGGCTGAGAGCCTCTGCCAGAACTGGAGAGGATGGAGGAAACAGTCTGCTGGGCCCAACTCCCCAACCGTCAAGATTAAAGGTCTGGAAACCCATTCCTATCAGTGTCTAAGTGTGAAAGATGTCTCTGCATTAACATTGTTATTGGATGATTTTAGTCATTTTATTCCAAAAAAAATTAAAACAATCCACTAAACTTGGTTTCAGAGTTTAAAGACGTTTCCAGGAAGCTTTGTCAATTCAAAATGTCAGAAATAGTGTTGAGTTCTAGGTTTTATACAGTAGCCCAAGAAAGCCTTGTTTTTTTTATTGAAAACATGCAATTAAAACGTACAAAGGGGTCCACCCCTTTGGATTTGGGGTCGTTTGGCTTCTTTGTAAGCCTGCAATGCCCCATATCCGTCTAAGTGTCTGAAAGGTCGGTCGTTAAAGCTGAAGTCTGTAAGTTTTTAAAAATCACTTTTTTGTCATATTGGCTAAAACTGTCCCTATGCCCAGACAGCAGTACATGTGATATGTAACCTGTGAAAAAAACTGCTTCAATTGGTCCCGCATAATGCCTGTATTGCAATCTGGAAAGAATAATTCGGGACGAGTCAAAACAACCAATCACAGCCAGAGGAGCGTCTGATGGAGTGTCAATCACAGCTCCCCCCCCCTCACCGCTTAACCTGCCGCAGCGCCCGGCTGCCGCAGTCAGGAGGACGAGTGTGGAAGTCATGGCGGAGCGACCGCCACCAGCGAAAGAGAAACTGCCCTTACTGCCCCTGCCGACAACTGCTTACACGGCAAACTTCGGTATAACCAGCATCTTATATCTAGCTGCTTGGAGGTGAGTGTTATCGCTCTTACCGGTTCACACTCCATGACGCGTATGCTGCTTGGACGCTTGTGGTCGCATGCGGTAGCCGCGCAGGTGCTGTGAGAGGGGTGGAGCTTGGAGGTGGGGCATGAGTGAAGCATAGAGGGTGGGGGAGTGGAGTGAAACCTGTTTTTCTTCAAATTTTCAGTCGAGGTCTGCTCTCTTCTCAATGTTGCAGACTGCAGCTTTAAAGGGGAAATTTTCAAAACAAAAACAAGCCTTTGTTCTGCTACTGTTTAAAACCTCAAACTCCACACTATTTCTGATATTTTGAATTGAAAAAGCTTCCTGGATGGGAAGCGAAACGTCTTCAAACTCAGAAACCAAATCCAGTGGATTGTTTTTAATCTTTTTGGAATTACTATGACCTGGATACTGAGAACCTTCACCAGCATAATCATTTTATTAACATCATTATTGGTCCTGTTAGACAAACTCGGCTGATAAGGATGTTTAATTGGATTATTTCCATTGTTCTCCACCAACAATGGAAGATTAACCATGATTGTTATTCTTTTAGTTTGTGTTTTTTGAGGGTCAGCAGATGAGTTAGTGACCCTCATAATACAACCCTCCCACCCCGACACGCACGCACACAGTCGTTCTGCTATATATAGTGGGGACCATGTGTTTACTCACATTGACTTCCTTTGATTTTCACTCATTTTTCATCCCTTTTTATACCCTAGCCGTAACCAGGTTGATACCTTAGCCCTAAACCCAACCATTAGAAAAATGGCATGTGAGGACCTGCAAAATGTTCTCACAACAACTGGTCCTCAATTTGATGGTGAAATTGGAAAAATAGTCCTCACTTTGAGGGCTAGACAGGTACATCCCCACACTCAGTATCAGTACTGAAACAATTATGAGATTAATTGATTATTGAAATAATGGTTTACTAGTTTAGTAATCGACTGATCGTTAACCGTTTAGAGACTGTAAATAATGCCTTTAGCTAACAGTGACCCACCTTGAGCAGCAATTATACCAAAATTGTTAAAAAAATTTAAACATTTTGCATTTTAGATAAAAAATATTTTTCGTCTGTCAATCTGCTCTATAATCCAGAAACCCTCAAGTGGAAAAGTTTGAGTTTCAACTACATTAATTTGGCAAAACAAATCCTCTTTAAGGAACCTTTTGCTGTCTCAATATTAATCGATTAATTCAAAAAGTTATCAGAAGATTAATTGATTAGCAAAATAATCATTAGTTTGCAGCCCTAATTTGTAGATATAAAGGTTGCACCATTTTAGTTTTCCGTCTGATCAAAACTGAGCTACTTACATTTTCTTAAGAAAAGATGTTGCAAGGTCAAAATCAGGAAACAAAAACCTGAGAAAAAATAGAAACTTGTTTTAAAAGCCCAATATAATACTTGCAAATATAAATAAAAACCTTAGAGCTTTTTTGACAGTAACTGATTTTCAGACCTTTGCAGAAGTAAGATAAGGAATTAAGTCTGGTTTCGCAGTAGTATCAGATAATAATTTAATATTTAATCCCCCGTCATAGCCCTAATATGTATGTGATGGTAGATTCACGGGGTTTTAACCAAATCAGTTTGATCTTTTATTTCCACAGAAAGGGATGACCTCAAAAAACTTTTTATTTCCAATGCAGTATTGGAGATATTGCAACTTTGATCTCTGATCCGTATTGAAATGATTCAATATCAGTAGAGATCAAAACAGGTTTCTTAAGGCTAATTTTAGTAGCGATTATGGTTGATGTGATTACGGAATCCGTTTATCCATTGCTCCAGCATAAGGATTCTTCTCATTTAGAGCAATCGGATGTACCACAGGTTTTTGCTATTGGTGGTACATGATATGTCGTAGTGTGGAGAGTCCAGCCTCGCTGCGAAAAATGTAAATCTAAATAAGTCTTTTTTTTTTTTCTTAAATTGAGGAGCAAAGTGAGAAAAGTTTCCAATGAAACAAATAAAATTACATTTAAAATAAGAAAAAAAACAATTACTTTGTCTTACTTCGAGCGCATATTATCTCTTATTTTAAGAGATAATTGGACGTTTATGAAATACACGTCCAATGGTTCCCATTGGACGTGTATTTCTTTCTGACCTCTGCACCAAAACTTAACCTCCTTTACAACAATTTTTATTTAGGATTAAAACAAATGCCTAACTTAAATTAAACAATGTGATTTATTTGGGTTTTCCTTTGCACCAACCACAAGCTTTTAGATGTTTTATTTTAGGGTTTCAGTTTTTTCGCCACCATGAAAGTTTGTGTGTCCAGAGTTTATTGTTGCAGGAATTAACTGTAACCTTTGTGTGAATGAGAGTCATGGGTACTTGTTGATGGCATTAAAATTTTGTCTAAGGGCATTAAAAATAATTAAATTAGAGTTATTCATTCCTGTATAAACCCTGTAATCGAAAAATGAATCAACACGTTAATCGATTTGCAAAATAATCTTAGTTGCAGTTGGTATGGATTGGTTAGGAAATGTGTTTGCGCCCATTGCACAGCATCACAGTGCCACACTTCTGAAGACTAAACAAACCCCAGACCTATGGAGAGCTAAAATCTGATTTTAAAGTGTTGCAATGTGCAGATTAGTTACTAAAGGTGCAAATGGAGCTAGAGTTTTAGCTGGATTGGCTAAAGTGGGCATTTATTTCCAGTGTTCTAACACTGCACAGTTAGGATAGGTTGAATGGGCCTCCTGATGTTCATAACCTCAACCTGCTCGTTTTCACAGGAGGGGGAGGGGCTGCTGCTCAGACAGGTTTCAGCCCAAATACCACTTTGCACCTGCTGCTGATAAAAGAAAAGCATTAGAACATAGTAAAAGGAAAAAAGTTGATTTTGGAGGATTTTAGCCCTTTAAAATTGAGATGAAATAAAAAGAAATCAAGACAATATATATACCGGTAAACTGAAAATTTTAAATTCTATCAGTTTCTGCGGGTCACTAAAAAAATCATTAAATGTGATTATAGTGGCATTTAAAATGCTCTATACAAACAATTTTGTCAGATATATCAGATATCTGCATGCCTGCGTGGAACTGCTTACAGAAAAATGTTTGGAAAAGAAGCTTGAGTGTAAGTAAAGGCTAGAGAATGGGGAAAATGACAATTTCAACAAAAGTAGCTGGAAAACGAGGAATATTTGAGACATGGCTGCAGCCTGTCGACGGTAAAGATGACAAAGGATTTGCCATGTTTTTATATATATATATATATATATATATATATATATATATATATATATATATATATATATATATATATATATATATATATATATATATATATATATATATGTATATGAGAATCATAGGTACTTGTTGATTGTATTAAAATTTTTTCTAAGAGCATTAAATTACAGTTACTCATTCCTGTATAAACCCTGTGAACTTACTGATGCAAATAATGCTCTAAATCTGCACTCGCTGAACTCTTCCCTCCAAAAACTGATCTAAAAATAAGTAAAATGTCTTAAAATAAATGTCTTTGCCCTTAAATAGAGCAAACTGTCTGTGACGCTTGGAATAAGCTATTGGGGCAATTTTTTTTTGTCATGTTGATTTACTTGATCAGATAAAGGGGACTGGACCTTTTTTTCTATGATAAAGAAGAAAAATAAAATGAATAGAACGGCTAAGTGGGAATTGAGTCTAAGTTTTATATGGTTCCTATCTTAGAGGCTAATTAAAAGCAGTCCCACAGCAAAGCTTCTGCCTCACCATCACCACTCGTGTCCAATATAATGACCCTTTAACAAAAATGCAACCTTCTCATCACGCAGTCCTTTCTCTGCTCACATTTCCCAACCTGTTTAATGTGAAGCTGCTCTAAGCGACAGAGGAGGAGAGAAACAGCAGGTCAGAAATCAGACAGCAGCAGCTGCCACTTAGAGACGGTATCAGCCTTATCAGTCAGCACCATAGGAGCCTCAAAATTCAACTGTTTTTATGGATTACTTTTCTGTATCTAAAAGGGTTTTGGCCATAATGGGGATTTTTGTTTCTGATCAATGCTGAATTTTTAACCCCAGTTTTGAGAAATTTAGTTGGCTTTTAAAACTGCTACTTGAAGCTTGGCCATTGGATAGAAAGGAGGGATGTTGTTTCTTCTAAGAGCTGCATAAAAACAGACCTCTGCTGAATTGGACTGCAGCTGTCACTTTATTTAATAACTGCCTAATTTAGCGATTCCTTTTTCAGGTTTCAGGGTTTTTCATCTGAAGCGCAAAATATAGTTGATCCAGGTTTCTTGGTGGGGTTCTTTCAGCAAATGTCAGGTTGTAGAGTCTGTGTACTCCAGCCCCCCAACTATCTGATTAGTCATCAATAAACCAGGCTTCCTGTAGATCCTTAAAAAGTCTTAAAAGGCATTGAAAACTTCAGTATAAAACTGAGGCCTTAATTGGTATTAAAATGTCTTGACCGTTTATAGGGTCCACATTAATATACTTTGAAAATTCAAATTTCAAGGCAATAGTGTTAGTGGAATCCAGTGCAAGATCTTATTACCTTTGTAACATAAATAAAATAAGGATATTTTGATGGCAAAAATAAATGTCGATGTAAAAACAAGAAGCGCCAACTCGCCCGAATATATTAAGATAAATAACGAAAATGCTTCTATAAGAAATTCATGAAAAACACTGAGGGACTCCATTTGTAAGGGGTATGCAAGTGATCAAAAAATGGTTAACTTGCCCTATAAACGGTTAAAATGGTCATAAATAACATTTCGTTTTTATAATCCATATCAAACATTAAACTAAATGGCAATCATTTTTTTACATTTACTGAACGGCTCGCTGGAACCATTAGTGGTTCCAACCCGAAAGCAGAGCCAATAAAAACAATGTTGCGGCTGGATTTCCTTTTGTTTCCCTAGATGAGTTCATTGCAGGATAAGAGATGATAAATTCAACGTAAAGTAAATTTACACAGCCGAGAGTTTTCTGCACGGCTAAAAACAGAACCAGGGAATGTAGATGAAGTACGATGGGAATCGAGGGAGTGGAGTCACACGTGTGAAGCGTCAAAATCAACTTCTGGAGAAGCAGCAGGTGTTTCTCCGTTCTGTTCCTCCCTCGTCTCTGCAACGCCTCCACAGCATCTCCCACATCATCAGCAGCGCCACTAGCACCAAACCTCTGGATAATGATTGGCGGTTCACCAACAATGGAAGCAGAGCGATTGTAGACTTTGAGTCGGGAGCAAAACAAAGTCGGTGAATTCAGTTCAGTAGATTTTAGAAATAGATCTGTTATTTGTGTGTTTTTAGCTTCTTCCTGTTATGTGTTATGTCTTCAGTACAGGGGCCAGGACATGATCTACAGGGGCACTGGCCCCCGTTGGTCCCCCCGTATAGAACCGCCTATGATTCTAAACTTGGATGAGAAGCTGGTGGATTGAGACTCAGCCCCTTCCTGTCCTTCTGTTCCTCAGATGGCCAGGTGACTCCCCTGGTGGAGTTGTCAGCGAAGCAGGTAGCCTTTCACATCCCTTTCGAGGTGGTGGAGAAGGTTTACCCGCCGGTTCCAGAGCAGCTGCAGCTCCGCATCGCCTTCTGGAGCTTCCCTGAGAATGAGGAAGACATCAGGTGAGAGAATAAATCCTGCCATGTGCAGATGGATCGTACCGTTCGCTGATTTTCCTAATGCTGGTTGCTAACAACCAGAAAAATCCCTGGAATTCCAAACTTTCATTTATTTTAGTGATGAAGACTTTATTTTTATTTATTCATTTTTTTTTTTCAAACTTTTTTTGCCCAAATTTGCAGAAATGATTCCCTGCACTGCAAAGAATGTTGAGAAAATGAGTAAAAATCTTTTGAAATTGGTGCATTTTCCCTTCAGCTGGGAAGAGAAAATATCTGCCAACAAATAATTATTTTATTTTAAAATACAAACAACTACTGAATGCTATATTTATTTATTTTATTAACTTTATCTTTATTTTTTTAACAACGGCAAAAATAATCAGGTAAGGGCTAGAGCACTCATGCAGTTTATAGAACAGTGTAGGATTCAGAAGAATAAAATAACAGATATAGACCAAAACCCAGGAGCAGGGTACACAACTAATGGTGAAAAGATATTTTTTCCAATTCACCAAAGTAATTTGTTATGAATATCGGAGTAACTGTTCCATTTTCCCAGAGTCTCTCTCCTTTCTCCTTCTGGAGACGCAGGGAGAAAGTCACTGTTTCCATTTCGTGGATCTGGTGTATAATGCTTATGAAGAGCCTCAAGGGGGCTTGAATGGAGCCAGCATTTGGTGATTTCCTTCTTGCTTGCAATCAAGAAAATCTTTAGTAAATATTTGTTACTTGAACTGAGCCCTTCAGGGAGACTTCTCGGGTAGAAGGAGGTGAAAGAATAGTCCGACACTTTGTCCAGGGTTTCAAAGAATATCTGCTTAACATTGTGCCAAAAGACCTTCAATTTAGGACAGGACCAGTAAATACGCACATAATCTGCAGAAACCACCCTGTGCAGCACTTAACCTAGATTTCTGCGCCTGATAAGTTTCTCCCAGCCAAAACCCCGCCATTCTGTAGAGTTAGTAGTTGAAAAGGTGTTTTTCCACAGTTGAGACCAAAGTTCCTCTGAGATTGTAATGTTGGCTTCCTTTTCCCACCGCTGTCTGATATAATCTGTTGACCTTTTATTCATAGTTGTATATAAAGCTTTCCAATTATGCCTTTTGTTTTAGTACCAGGGGCCCACAGCCTTAATTTATAGACTAGACCATGCTGGAAAAAAGCATGGATGGTACTCAGGCCAACTCAACACTCCTATTTTTGCAAATTATATTTTCTTAACCACCTCAGACCACTTTTTCAAGGAAATGTTGTATTTATTTTAAATATGGATTAACATTTATTTCCACTTAATGGACCTGGATTGCTGAGATTCTCCACCAGCATTATTTTTTTTCTTCTTAAAAGAAGCGGAATCGTTCAACTTCCAACGAGATCCAACCCTCCCTCCGATGTCACCCGGATGTCATTGATCACTTGTTGCTCTTTGTTTTATTTTGCTTTCCTTCAGAGTTAGAAAAGCTAAACTAACAGATGTAAAACAGTTTCATAGGCCTGTTAGGCAAGGTGTGTTAATAAGCTCCAATGTTAAAATTTAAATCCACATTTTTATGTTTATATGATAATGATTGGAGTTTAAAGAATGTTATATTTCATTATAAATTTTCTTACTACATTTTGTGGACTATTTTTTTATTCTTTTTTTTTCTGAGGCTAATTATTTTCTTGAATCGAGGAGGTAACTGAGACACTTTTCCAATGGAACAAGACAATTTACAATCAAAATAAGAAAAAAACAATTAAATTGTCTTATTTCTAAAGCATATTATCTAATTATCTTATTTTAAAAGTAAAAATACTCATTCCATTGGTAGATCATCTTATTGACCTGCTCAAATTAAGGTTAAATTCACTTAATGTATGACATTGTTACTTATTTCTAAATCGTTTCTGCAGTGTAGCTGCCATCATTTCAGAATAATCTAAACATACACTGCAAAATGATCTAGAAATAAGTAAACATTTTTAGAATAAGTGTATTTACCCTTAACTTGAGTAGGTAAATAAGATGATCTGCTAATGGAATGAGTTTTATAAATAGATAATAGGCACTTGAAATAAGACAATAAATGTAAATTATCTTCTTCCATTGACAAAGTGTCACACCTCCTCATTTCAAGAAAAAAATGCACTTATTTTAAGAAAAAAAAGACTTATTCGATTCCTATTTTTTGCAGTGTAGGGATCTGCTACGCTGAACTACGCTGGCGAGAACCCCAATTAATATTAGTTTGAAAGTAGGCTGCACATTCAATCCATTTGTTTTATTGAATCTGATCCAACAACCTCTGTGCCATTAAGTGCTTTAATTGGACTGACATATCCTTAAAATTATTTATTCCATGTTTATTTATACATGTTTCATGCTGACTTTGCTTTGCCGTGGCTGCAGGTTGTATTCCTGCCTGGCTAATGGGAGTCCAGATGAATTCCAGCGTGGAGAGCAGCTGTACAGGATCAGAGCCGTCAAAGACCCCCTTCAGATTGGTACGTCCAGCGTCTGCTCGGGTTGAACTCTACATCTTTCAGACTCGTTTGAAGATGTGTCTCTTAACTGGTCTCTCTCTCTCTCCAGGCTTCCATCTCAGTGCTACAGTCGTCTCCAGTCAGTCGGGTCAGTCTAAAGCAGCTTACAACGTGGCAGTCATGTTCGACCGCTGCCGCATCACTTCCTGCAGCTGCACCTGTGGTGCTGGGGCAAAATGGTGCGCCCATGTGGTGGCTCTCTGCCTCTTCCGAATTCACAATGTGAGTTTGTTTCCCTCACAGAACCTCTTAGATCTAAGTAGCACTAGAAGACCAGTAGATGACTGCAACCTTTGAGAAGCGAAGAGAACCGAGGAGTTGAACCTTGTTGGCAGCAAAAGGCACATATGGAATGGGTGTATAACATTCCACTTTAGGGCTTCTGGGTCATAAAGTCAGATCCAACTAGAAATTGAAGCGCTGCTCTACTTCTTGTTAAGGAAAACCAAAACCAATCCTGTAGTTGGGAAGTTGTTGCTTCCCTAATCTGACTTCAGCAGAACAAACCAGAAGCAGGTTTTAATCTCCGTAGAGCTCAGCATAGTTAATTGGTGAATTCTGTTCAGTTTATTTCTAAAGAGCAATTCACAACATATGTTAGAAAAATTTAAAAAAAGGGGGCTCATTTTGGACAACGACTGGACATGCTGTGAGTTAATGCATTAGTACCAAGTGCCAACACGTAAATGATGTCTTTCCTACGTGTTTGTAACACAGGCCCATAACTTTGTTATCTCCATCATTACACCATTATTATTCCAGGGAAATCCTGTGACTTAAGTGACGCATTATTTTTAGATGTTATTTTTAGAGCCACTATAATAGAAAAGACGTTTGTGTTCCATTTCCTGTTATGAATTTTGAATTCAACTTTATTGTCATTCCACTGTCACAAGTACAGAGCAACGAAATTAACTCTCAGCATTTAACCCATCCCCTCGGGGTGCAGTGGGCTGTCATTGTGCGGCGCCTGGGGAGCAGTGTGGGGTTAAGGGTCTTGCTCAGGGAGCCACAGTGGCAGTCTGTGGGAGTGGGGCTTGAACTCAGAACCTCTGGTATCCAAGCTCTATGGCCTAACCACTAGACCGCCACTCCACCACATGGGATGTTAGAGCGTTGCATTGGCTTTGAATTCCACCACGAAGCTCTGCCGCATGTGGTTACTGCTGAGACTACGTCTCTCATTAAACTCGTAACACAAATTATACCTGCTCTGTCCAGACATTACCGTTCGATAAGCCGTGTTATCAAAACCGGAACGTCAGTGCATGTCTCAATGCTCAGTGCTACCTAGATTAAACAGCCCTGCAGGTCTGTTGGATGTTTGCATGAGTTGGAGTGTTTCTTAGACTGAAAAGAGTTGTTCAATAGATTTTATTTTGACCTTTGAGAGTGAGAGTAACTTCGGCAAATGCTTAGCACTTAGGAGTAAAAAAGAATAACTTTAAAACGTTTGATATATATGGTCTCTGACCTAACAAATAAAGTATTAGATCTTTGTTAAAAAAGTAATGGAATGGTGAGGTATTCAGATCCCCTCACCTGCTCTGATCTTCTTGTTGCAGCTACGCAACAACAGGTGGACCCAATTTAATGCTAGTAGAACTAACCATTAAGGCGGGATCAAACGATATCGGTGCGTTCCAGTTGACTGGACATCAGAGTTTCCAACTTCTTTGGATAAATGAAGCAGCTTCTGGCATCATCAACAGGAAGCTCAAATTAAAACTTTTTTTATGTTACAAGACACACGTAATGCTACGCTCACACTGCACGCGCTATAAGCAGCAGAAACAGCAGGTTTACATGGAAAGTATATGGTTGACGTGTATCAAAAGTTCCTGCAGCGTGTGTCGAGCAGCAGGAGCAGCGCATCTTGACCTTCTGAGCAACTGAGTCACGCTTCACTAGCAGCAGATGCTGGAGTTTGTAAAAACTGAACTTTTGCTGCTGGATGCGTCGCATCAACCAGTCAGAGAAGCTGATCTGGGAGCATGCAGGGAGACAGACACAGCACTGCTGATGTAAAGCACTATGATCACTCCCCTGAAACTGTTTATTAACACCTAAAATTAACTTAAAATGTTGAAACCAGCCGGTAAAATATGTTCACTGCCACCAACAGTAGGGGAAAACCCCCAAGAGGCGAGCGATGAGCTGTCAGATCAGCATACCCATAGTCAATACGCATGCGCAAGACAACAGATTTGTGTTTATCCCTTTAGTTTTGTACGAAAAATAGACATTAAACTACCTCTACGGGCATGTATCCCTTTAGTCATGTACAAAAAAAATTATTTAAGGTCAGATCGCTATATGCTTTAAAAAACACCAAAAAGTAAGTAATACATTTTTTTTTTTTGTGCATGACTAAAAGGATACACGCCCTTTGAGGTATTTTTAAGCCTATTTTTCATACGAAACTAAAGGGATAAACGGGTATTGACTAAAGGTATGCCGGACTGACCGGGTATGGCCATCTGACAGAACACCGGGCCTGAGGCAGCTGCTGCTGGGGATTCCCAGTGATGGCGCACCGCCGGTATGCGGGGGTCTGAGCTGCTCTGACAGAGAGATAATATTTGAAGGCAGAATGGTAATCTGGATGAACTGCACAGACAATGTTTTTCAGGTGGACTTTCTCTCTTAAAACATATTAAAACTACTTTTTACCCTCCGATCAAAGCAAATCTAGCAAAGCCGCTCTCTGCCATTGAACACAGGAGCAGCAGAAGCATCAGACTCATCTGGACACACTTTACTGGACGTCTATCCTTAATATGGACAAGCATCAGAAATGAAGCAGCAGATTTGCTGCTCAAATCATGTTTAGTGTGAACATAGCGTTAGAGTGTGTACCAGCTGCAGCTCTAAACTGACCAAATTAAAGGCGGAAAGTAAAGCATTGAGCAACGCTCCTAAGAGGTGCCACTTCAGCTTTCCATGTTGGAAGCTGTTAATGGGTTCTGTGCTAACAGGAACATTTAAACGTTGAATTAAACATAAACCATTGAAGTGATCATTTCTATCTGCAGAGGTATGAGTTAAGATTTGATGTAATTTCTGTGGATCTTAACTCATGCTTGTCTGTTTACACCCTTATAGGCATCAGCAGTTTGTCTGAGGGCTCCAGTTTCTGAGTCTTTATCCAGGCTGCAGAGGGACCAGCTCCAAAAGTTTGCCCAGTACCTCATCAGTGAATTGCCTCAACAGGTAAGAACATCCACCAATGGGTGGAGCTCTCTAAAGACAGGATCCAGGAAAAGTTTTCCACCCTTCAGGTGATTCAGATTTTCTTATTCAGGATCATGTGACAACAGGCTGCAGCTGCTGCAGAGATCTCTAAAATTTGAGATTATGGAGTGAATTTTGTTCCATTATTATTCTGACAAGCAAAGAACACATTTTAAAAATGGAAAACTCCCCAAATGAATCTTTGAAAAACTTTTTAATCAGAGTAAATCTGCTGTTTTCTCATTTTTCTGTTGTTCTGTTATCAACACTTACTGGGCTGTAGTTAATGCGCACTAGCTGAGGCTAGCCTCCGGTCCTATTATCGGAGCACCTGTATGGATAGCACTTGGATCTGGTGTCTGACCTGATGCTGGCTTTATTTCTTGAAACGGGTGACTTGGCATGTATTTTTAAAGCATGTGACGCATTCATGTAGCATACAGGTGACTTTCATTCCTTCAGAGGCGAACGCTTTACTTCTTTTACCGAGCAGAGGTTTCAAAAGTCCATTCCTCTATTTTCCGTCACGTTTTATCTCAGCTGGGGTGGCGAGTGGTGCTGGTGCCTATCTTCAGCTGTCTACCCAGAAACTTCTTGCTGCAAGGCAGCAGTGCTACACACTGCCTCACTGTGTAGCCTCTGTGTCCAAAGTATTAATATTTATAGTAACTGAAGTATAAATATAAATACTATTTAAAAACACTTCTGTAGAAGTTAGTGGATCAACTTCAGCTTTTTAATCCAGTAGAAATGTAAAAGTACTTGGTGTGTAAGTGATAACTGTTTTGCATTGATGCATCTAATCAACAGCCGACGATCCGACGCATCAACACGTCCGCAAGAATATTGATTCATGTTTGTTTTGTTTTTTTCCCTCCGGTCTGTTTTTATCCATTTGCTCCTGGACGTAATTCTGACTCCCGTGCTGCGGTGGCGGCAAACCTATTTTGACCCTCCTACCTCGCTTCCTTTAGCCACTACCCTCTCTCCGCATGCAGTATTTTGTGTTGCAAGGCCTATCAGAATCTATAACACATCGCCATGATGGGTGTGATTTACAGCCCTAAAAAGTACCATTTTTAAAACTACTAAAAGTATAAAAGTAAAAGTGATGCGGGAAAAATGTTAAGGCCAGAAGCTTTAGTGCACTACCCTATTAAAGGAACATTTTTCTACAATTCTGGATCATAACTTCCTTAAACTTCATATTCTTAGTTTTATAACTAATGGTAACAGTGTCAAATTTAACTTTGCATCATCTGGAAAAACTGGACCTCTGACACTAAACTCTCCTCCTCTTGCATGTTTCCTCTGTCCATAGCGTTTCTTGACAGTGTCGTTTCTAAGTCACCTATTTAGTGCTACTTGGTCCCAATGGAATTTCCCATTGGGAACCTACTAGCACTAAGTTGCTAACTGGTTAGCAAGATGCTTCCGACAAACCGGCCACAATCAAACTTGTTTGCAAACCTTTCGCTACAACAATCCCGCCCTCTTGATAAACTAACAATCACATTTCACTTTATTCACTCGTGTAAAGTCGTGCACTACTCGGGAGAATTCAGAAATGCAACGGATGTAATAGCCGTTTCCCTATGACTGTAAGTGCATGTAAAACAAATCTAGATGAATGGATAACTTTTGGTCACAAAACTTGCAAAGTAACAACCGTGTTGAAATACTGGATTGAAACATAACAGGGAAGCACCCTTAGGGGGAAAACCCACCAAAGAAAACCGATCAGGGAATTACATATTTAATACAGAAATGATAATTCACTAACAGCCTTTAAATGGTAGTAAAACTCTTTCTTGCATCCTCAGATTTCACCAGCTTTCTTTGTCTTTCATTTCTTGTGCTCTTCCTGCCCCCAAACCTCCCCCCACCTTGTTTAGCCTCTCAAAACCCACCGCTTTAAAGCGTTCACAACTAAGAAATCAGAATGCATGGAAATTCTACCTGTAAAATGTTTACCAATGCCAAGTTCATTTTATGGACATAGCGAGCACCAAAGCACAATTAACACAGATATAGCAGCATGACAAAGCAGCCAAAACAAGTAAGCATGTCTTTATTACTGCTGTTCAAAAAAAGACCTCATATTTTTGAGAATGAAAAACAACTTTGAGTCATGTTTGCACTGATGCAGCTTCGGCTGTGTTTTACTCACCCAATTTTCAAAAACTAGAAGGTGTTAGCTTTCAAATAATGTATCACACATGTAATTTGGGCTTACAGTTCCTAAGTTATTTACTTTTCCATTGTGGGTATGCAAAATAGGCGAGAATTTCCCAAAATGAGGTGGATGTTATAGAATCCCACCTCCAGGTTGTTACTGGGTTTGGGCCCTGAAGGCAAAATATTACCAAAAGAAACAAAACTTGCCAGTAAATTTGACCTTCAAAGTTTCTTCTGGAAGAAATTATTTCTTCTGGTCTGAAAAAAAAAAACCCTGGAAAAATCCTGGGGGAATAAAACACCATCCAGAAGAAACTTCCAACCCTTGACGAGGTGAGCTGGGATCCCAGCAGGTCATTACTGTCATTGACTACCCCAATGAGCTGCAGCCAGATGGCTAATATAGCTGCAGACATTCTGATCCAGTAGAGGTGAATATTTTGTGTCTTTATCTCCTCGTTTTTCTCCAGATCCTGCCCACAGCCCAGAGGCTGTTAGATGAGCTCCTGTCTTCTCAGTCCACAGCCATCAACACTGTGTGTGGAGCTCCAGGTACGGCCCACAGCATGCTAGAATGCTTCTTGTTTTGGATCAGTGGCAGTGCAGGAAGTCTTGTTTCCACCTAACATGAGCTAGCTTAAAGGAAAACTAAAGAATGCTTGTGAAGAGCCTCCATGGGTGTTAGCTAGCCTCTCTGAAAGTGTATCCCTGGTTTTAAAAGCAGAATCTCTCTGTGTTCCTTCAGATCCAACGGCGGGACCTTCAGCATCTGATCAGAGCACCTGGTATCTGGATGAGTCCACCCTCAGCGATAACATCAAAAAGACCTTGCACAAGTTCTGTGGGCCTTCTCCTGTGGTCTTCAGGTACACGTTGTCATGGTTATTGCACTGTGAACTGAAACAATAAGCTGCTGTTGATGTTTCTAAAAACAATGTCAGTCATAGCCTCTCTGTGCATCGATGTTTCTCTACCTGATTGAGTTGAGTTTAGGGTCGATTCTGTTTAATTGTTGGTTTGTTTTTACCAGTGATGTGAACTCCATGTACCTGTCCTCCACCGAGCCACCGGCAGCTGCTGAGTGGGCCTGCTTGCTGCGCCCTCTTAGGGGGCGGGAGCCCGAAGGCATCTGGAACCTTCTGTCCATCGTCAGGGAAATGTTTAAGAGGCGAGACAGCAACGCGGCCCCGCTGCTGGAGATCCTCACTGAGCAGTGCCTTACCTACGAGCAGGTGATCACTTCTTCAAACATCACCCTACATTTTTAACGTCCAAATGTAATATGGAGCATTTCTGTCTGTTGTGCGGGTTTTCTACACTTCTATGGGTTTTCTGGTCACACAGAGAGGAGCCGCCATGGGAAAACTAATCACTGAAAGTCATTTTCTAGACTTTCAGAATCTGTTTGAATAAACTGGATTTGATATAAAACATTCAAATATAAATGAATGAAAATAAAGTGACTGAAGTACACTGATACTTCTGGTGGAAAACTGTTTTTTCTTGCTCCACAATAACTTAAATATTTAATATTGCATTAAAAAAAAGGAAACAGTCCTATTTCCTCAGAAAGGGATCTTAGTAGAACTAAAACATAAATATTATTAATACATAAAAC